GGAGTATGACGGACACCCGACACGAAACAACAATGCGATCAGGGAGTTGAAGAAGATCTGACAGAATTAATACGATGATCAGGGTACAGAAGTCGCCGCGCAGTTACGTTGTGTTTCATGAACCTCGAGTTGAACCAAAGTTGAACCAATTGAGCTGAAGGAGGGAATCCGGCAGCTCGTGACCCCATACTGGTTCCACGCACGAGCTTGGTGGTGGAATCGAGGGGACAATTGTAAGTTGCTGTAGCGCCCGAGGCACTCGGACTGAACGGATGAATACCGGCGACAACCGGGCGTCGTGGCAATATGAATTCCAACGGAATGGCGCAACGGAAGTGGGTATCGGAGACTATGACCGCCAAGTCGGAGGTGTAAGCGCGCCATTCGGTTCGGAATATATTGATGTCGGCCAACCTCGGCCAACCTCAGCCGACATCGCACAAGTTGGCCGAGGGGCCATCAAAATGTAGTGAACAGGCCGGGAAACGGCGATGCTACGATGACCGTAGATTGGTTGAAACGCTGTCAAGTTCGAGCCCTGAGACCCCCAGAGGCGCAAGCTTCCCTTTATTTTTGCTTTTCTCCATCCAAAATCGTTTGGGTCGATGTAGTTCTTGAGAGCCCTTCGGTGCCTCATAAATGAATCTTGCAAATGCAATGCCAAAATCGAACCAGCCTCCACGTTTCGAAAACATATGGTCCCTGAAGCTTTCAAAAGGAAATTCTACGGCAATGTGGCAGCAACGTTCTCTCCGTTTACAAAGCATGTTCTTGCCTCCAAAAACGCACAATATCAAAGATGATAGGTGATGCCGGGCCCAATATTGATACTTTCGTTGTCTATTCGAAACGTTTTTCAACTGGGACTCTGAAATATACACATCCATCCTGCGGAAAAAATAAGCTACTATGGATAAGCCAAAAATGTTCACGAGAGAAATCATAATTTCGTCTCCGGTTTGTCTGGCTTATCTCCCAAGTCCGCGACAAAGTCGGCAACAGCGCTCCAATATCCCGGCTGTACACAGGTGTCGTCTATGCGGCAGTCTCGTCAGCAACTACTCGCAGGGAGTAGAACAAAACTCACTATGGCCGCCAAGTTCAAACTCCATATACTTCGCACGCTCCAATCCCTTCGAGAACTCGACGCCCCCAGGTGTCTTGGTCTCCCCGCGGCGTGCAACGATCTCCCAGAGGGCCCGCATATGTTCCTTCGGCACCAGCTCATCTGCGACGCCGCTCAACATGAGAATTGGCGTCGTGGGTGGGATGAGTGGAACTTTGGACGCCGAGTCCCATTTCTGATGACACATGAATGCAAAGGGTCCTAATAGAGGTAGGGCAGAAGGTACAAGGCTCGGAAGGGAGGTGAACGTGTTTTCTAATATTAATGCGGTTATCTGGCCCGGTAGATTTAGGAAAGAACAGAAATGGGGGTGTGAGTATATCTACCTTCGACGGGTTCCGGCTAGCCAGATCGATCGAAACAGCTCCGCCGATTGATTGCCCATATAATACCTGCAAAAACGTTATTCAATCCTTCTGGTTGGCGAGAAAAGCCGACGTACTATGGGTGTCTTGGAAAAACAGGGATCAGAAAGAAGGTAATCCAGAGCCGTCTGCGAGTCTATTTGAAGACCTGGAAAGCTTAAATGACAGATTTCGTCATGCTGCGATGAGGTCTCACCCTTTTCGGACGGCGACCCGTCGGAAAGGCCATAGCTACAAAATCACTCAGGATGGACTCCATTTGGCTGGTACGAAGTAGACTCACCCTCGATATGAAACCATGAGGACATTGCACCGCATTTTTAAGTAAAAGACTTTTGCTAGAGGAATTCGGTGGCCGTGGTTTCCCCCGTTTCCGTGAAACATCATCACAGTAGGGCGACTAGTGATGAACTGGGAGCCAAATAAGTGATTATTCGGTCCATAATCAATTGTCGCGCACCTCATCCTCGGTAACGTCATCCTCGCCTGGAACAGGTGTTGCGACAGCATGTGTCTTGGACAGCTCTTTGCTCTGAGGAAGCAGGTAACACCGCAGAGTTATTCCATCAGGGGTTTTGAGCTCCAAGTCTTCATACGGTAAGCCATATGCCGAGGGAACCGGGACATCTTCTGCGCAATCAAGCTTCCGGCATGAATCCTTTGCAAGTCATCTCACCTGTGCGCGAGCCCGGTGGAAATGCGGATGGGTATATGAGATAATTCTGTCCGTAATAGAGAAGACCGACGCCTGGTTCAAGCACCATCAGTAGGAACGCGCGCCAGTAGCAGCATTCGGTTACCAACTGTGGAGAGCGTTGCTGCGGTTGCTAAGGTGCCCTAGGTGAGGATTGAGCGTCTGAATTCTTCCAAGGAAAGGTGGCCTACCTTCGCGAAGGTTTCGAGGGATGGGAGGAAGCCTGCCATTGAGACGTCGAGTTGGTCGGTCAGAAAAGGGTCGCGGTGGCAGGTTGTTTGGCCAAAGGGCTTTCGTCGTCTGGACCAAATATAGATCGGGCCGATGTTCCATTTTCTCACGGTTCGGACTATTCTGTGGCCTTCTCAATCATGCTAGCATTACCATCCATTTAGATAGACGCGAGCACTTAATTCCTTCCGGCCAAGAAGCCTAATATTCCCGAATCTTAAATAAATTCTCTGAATCGTTGATTGAAAGGCGAAGCCTAGACGAGAGGGTTGATTACCACGACCTCCCATCGGTCAAGACGGGCATCCACTCGTACCATCGTCGGAATTCTTTCTGTTGAGAGCACTGGAAACAATGCTTTCGCGCGGATACCGCGAACAACATGCACTGTCTCTCTTGCGCCTCACCGTGTTCTGTATTGCGAGCTTGACTTGATGTCTTCAGTTATTGCTGACAACATTCAAACAGCTCCGGCCCTCGACGACGGGGAAGTTGGATCATGAGGTTCGGGTCCATTATGTTGAATTTGAAGGCCAATCAGTACTCAGTGGCGAACTCTCTAATTCAACAAATTCCACACCACAGCTCGCCTACCGTGACAATCCACCAATTAAACCAGCACTTGAGCAGCTTCTATCTTTAACAAGCTTAGATGTTCGGAGCCGGTCGTCGATGTTGACAGCTGCATCGCCCGGGTAATGCAAGGGTTCCGACGGAGCGCATGCCTTCAATGGCCCACTGTTCACACCAGTTTTACGGATTTGAAGTGGCCCGGTCGCGAATAACGCTTCCCTTCGTTCCGCTGGACGTGACTGTTTCGCGCTTCCGGAGAAATCGGCCGCAGGATTCGAAGGACTGCGGTCGTCAAGTTGATTCTCCTGTTCCCCCATTTCTATACCAAATCATACCATTGGCGAAATATCATGCAGCTCAAGTTCGCAGTCGTGTGAAGGGTCGGGTCTGGCATTTATTTACTGGTCTCGGTCGGGCGGGCGGTGCGTTTTCAAAAAATGGGCCAGATTTTCGGCCAGAAGCGTGTGTCCAGCGACTGACGGATGCAGGCCATCAACTGTGTGCTCCGCCGTCATCTTCGACCCTAGGTCGTAGCAGGTCCTGACGTCAAGATCATCCACTACGAGTGGGTTCGAGACAAGGTCCGTGTGAATAAATCCCACGTCGGGCTCATTGAAGTCACGGAATGGAGGCTATAGATGGCCGAATTTATCGGTCACTCGAAAGGGAAATTGAAAGGCTCACGATAACGTAGAACGCCTCGACAGACGGAAATGTTGCTGAGAGCGTTCGGATGAATCGTGCCAGGGTAGCTCGAAATAATTGGGGCGCGATGTCATTGGCCTCATCGTTCGTACCTTCCGCTGCAGTAAGCTACCGAGTGGTGACGGGGAAACGAGATTGCTTACCCAGCGCAATGCATATGCAGTGTGGGATTCCGCGTGGAGTCCATGGACTCGGCTCCCAGGGACTTTTCTGCGCCAATCTCAGGAGCTCTCTGGGCGCGAAAGAAAAGAAAAGAGACTTACGTGAAAGAATCTATCAACCATCCCCAACGTAGTAATAGACGCAGATTCATCGTCATTCCGCTGGTCAGGACTGACAAGAGAAATCCCTGGATATGCGACGACTTCGAGAGAAAGCGGATAAGAGCGCTGTTTGCTTAATATCGATATCGCCCGAGAAGGGAAGGCATCTAATAGCCCCCGCGGCATAGGTTGTCCGCCGTCCGAGTGCTCCAACGCCAGTCCACAAGTGATGGAGTCGCCAATAAAAAGGATACTGGGATCGACGCCTATCCGAGATCGGACCACATATCCAGAATCCTAAATTGTCAGACTTAGTACGAAAATCGGCGGTTTCAAGGGAGTTGTCGATACATCGGAGATAAAACCGTCGATCTCGAGTATTGAGGCCCAGTCAATCAGAATGATCTCGACTGAACATTGCTGGATTGGTTCGTCCCAGAGTTGGACGAGCATTCCGGGTTCCCCATCGAAGACTTTTGTTTCGATGACGGGGGCCGAGGGGGGGTCGGAGTTTTGGTTTGGCGGTGAAGACTTGGTGATAGAAACAGAGAACATCGGAGTCCCGCCGTTCCATCGATCCTTGCGCTGTGTCTTGGGCCCGATTCTCATAAACAAGGGCGACAAGAAATCCTGGGCGTAGAATTTTATGGATGAGCCGGCCCAGCCAGACCAAATCGCGCCGTTGGTGGAATACTCCCATCGACTAGAGAGTGTGAGCTTGGAGTCAAGGTATGGAATCGATAGAAGACGAGAGTTTGGGAAAGGTTGGGCCATGGGAGTCGGAGGTTGTGGGAAGAATTGAAGGTGCCCGCTCGGTAATCAAACCGGTATTGATCCGGCGGTCAGACTTTCAAAAGTTAGTTCGAATTTCCTCAAGTGGGCTTTGAGCGTTTTCCCCCGAGATCCGGGGAGTACTGTCATACGTTTCAACCCTTTATCATTTATGGAGATTTCTCTCTGGATGTAAAATATCCGGAAAGGCGAAACGTGAACAGGTAAAAAAAATACTGCATAAATCAAGGTTGAACTGCAGGTAACGAAACGGCTCGGTAGTGGACGGTCCACATCTGCTTTCTGTGGGTTGCGATGGTCAGGGATTCAAACAGGAGAAGCCCGTTCGATTCGGGCCCGGGCCATATTTCGGAAGCCAAGGTTTTATTTTGTGAACCATAGGGAAAGTGCTGTAACATTTGCCTTGAATTGAAGTGAGAGAAAGGCTCGGTAGTGGATGGTCCACGCCTGATTTGTATATAAAAGCAGCAGAATGGCACATAAGCAGGAGTAGCCCGTTCGATTCGGGTCCAAGCCATGGGCGAAAGTCTAACTTGCTTTTTTTTTTTGAACCACAGACAGAAAATGCAGCATAAATCAAGCTTGAAATAACAGCAAAGAAAGGCTCGGTGGTGGATGGTTCACACCTGTGTTGAATAAGGAAAAGGGAGAAGTAAGCAGGAGGAGCCCGTTCGATTCGGGCCCGAGCCATTATGCTGAAAATTCGTTTTTGTTCATTTCACTCGCTCTCGTTGAGTCCCTATGTTTTTCATTCAAAGTCGCAGAAGAGAGAACAAAATGAAGCCACCACAATTGATTCCGCTGAGAGTACCACTATAAACTTTCAGTTGGAACTCAGCCTAGCCCGTGCTATCGTGTTTCCCCGACTTCACATATGATTTAATCAGTTCAGCCGCGCTGTGCAGTCGGCGGGTCCATCGTCATTCATATTTTGGTTGCTCTTCGAATTCAACTCCCGCCACAAATTCATTTCACAACACACACAAAACTTTTGACATACGGTCAGTATCGTCTTTTGGATCAACCACTCCCGACTTATTTCACGACAAGCGTAATGTTTCGACTCTGCAACAGCGGGAACGGGCCCGCCTAGAAATAACTCACACATTAATCTGGACTTCACTGACGAGGAATAGAAACTGACCCCGACCAGACTGAAGTGAATGACACTGAGTTGCGCTATCCCGGTTGAGGCACCCTCCGGAATAATAACCGTGAAGTTCTGGTACGGGGGCTTGAAGGGGTCGTTGTGGAATTGGGGATCGTAGCTGCCGTTGTACAAAATACTGCCAATGCGGTCCATCGGAGAGGGGCAGGGGGACGCGAAGCAGTTCAGGAATCCTATGACGAGTGCAAGCTCAGCCGAACCAGTGAGGGTGTCCTACATTATAGATTCAATAAATTAATGTATCCCGGCGACAGTCACGAGTGGGGAGACGTACCGGGCGGTCCACTTCCACGATTACCTTGGATCCGCGATGGACGGTCGACCCTTGGACCGGCGCACCGATCGCGATGCCTTGCGCAAAAGCAGCTGTGAACATGCCGCAGAGGATCAGAGAACGGAAGAGCTTCATTTTTTTAAAAGACGAGAATGGGGGGGATAAGAAGACCTTGAGGAAACACAGCTGGAAGCTATATACCTAGCCCATTACATCATCGTCCGAGGCAAGCGTATTGTGGCCAGTGAGATGAAGCGTCGCGATTCTAGAGCGGGTTGAACTGCGGGCGATGACACAAGATTACACTTCAACCACCAATCCAGAATGTGTGTACGTGTTGCGTGCGTGAAATGCGTCGCGGTTGCCATCGATAGGGTACTCAAAGGCTTTAGCGTCCAGACATCCACAGGACCGAGTTTTGTACAAAAAAGCCAGGTGAAGCCAAAGTTGCTGTCTGAACCACAGATAGAACATGCGGCATAAATCAAGGTTGAGATAACGGCAAAGAAAGGCTCGGTGGTGGATGGTTCACACCTGGGCTGAATGGGGAAACAGGAATTGTAAACAGGAGGAGCCCGTTCGATTCGGGCCCGAGCCATTCTCGTGAACAGCTTTTTATCTTTCATTTATCTATATCGCTCTTCGAGTCGTCGAGTCCTTATGCAAATGTTTAGTAGGAAAAGTTCTGAGCAAAAATAAGAGCACGTTAGAACTCAGCCTAAGGTCGCCGTACTGGTGCTGGCGTGTCTCACAGGCTCAGTCGGTGGGTCATTATTCATCTTTTGGTTGCCTTTCAGCTCCCGCCACAACTTTATTCCACGAAATCAAAACACACACGGCACTTTTGACATAGGGTCTGCCTCCGCTCCCCGCCCAGCGTCGCATTTAAATCGACCACTTCCCCTCATTTCACCACGAGCGTGATGTTGCGACTCTCCAGTAGCGGGAACGGGCCGGCCTAGAGAAATTCACTCGTTAATAGCTGGATTTCGCTGACGAGAAATAGAAACTAACCCCGACCAGACTGAAGTGGATGACACTGAGTTGTGCTTTCCCGGTCGAGGCATACGTTGGAATGACAACCGTGAAGTTCTGGTGCGGGGGCTTGCCATAAGGCCAGGGCCAGTGTGGAATTGAGGGTCGTAGCTGCCGTTGTACAAAATATTGCCAATTCGGTCCATGGGAGACGAGCAGGGGTACTGAGAGCAGCTCTGGAATCCTATGACGATTGCAACCTCGGTCGAGCCTGTCAGGGTGTCCTAAGTTATAAAATCAATAAAGGTATCCTGGGACGAAAGTGGCACGTACCGGGCGGTCCACTTCCACGACTACTTTGGATCCGCGATGGACAGTCGACCCTCGGACCGGCGCACCGATCTTGATGCTTTGCGCAAAAGCAGCTGTGAACATGCCGCAGAGCATTAAACGGAAGAGCTTCATTTTGCAGACGGGGGATAAGGGGGAGCTCTGAACGAACACACCTAGAAGTTATATGCCCAGCGCATTACAGTATGGTACGATTAACCGTCCTGTGGCCAGTGCTAGTGAGATACGGCGTCGCAACTCTAGAGCGGCAACTGCGGTCAATGACACAAGATTACACTTCAGCCAGCAATCCAGAATCACTATACGTACGTGTTGCGTGCCTGAACTGCGCATCCGTTGCCGGTGGCAGGGTGCCCATTTTAGGTTCCCAGACATCGTTTGTGGGAGCAATGTCGGAGGTTGAAAAGCACGAGCAGCTGACAAAGCACGCATCAAAATGGTTGAACTTCAATTGAACTTCCACGAGGTGGGGCCCGGCAAGTGCCGGCGGGTTGAAATTTCGGCACGATCTCTCTCTTCTCACTCAGATCGGCCCTTTTGTCCGAGACAATCGCACTGGAATCAAACTCAACCCCGAACAGAAATGGCCAGGATCTGCCAGGGTCATCGGACTTGAATCTAGATTTTGGCGGCTTTTACGTGCAGGCTAAGTGGAAGCTTTACCTTTTGAAGTTTTTGACGTTCCTTCGGCCACGCGCTTGTTATCTGTTTTCTGTCCACTTATCGTCTTCCCTCCATGACCTCCACCTCTTCATCGAAATACGACTTTCTGCTTCACCCATATCTAACCACCCCATCTCTTTTCATCGGGCCTTTGCCGAACCATGTCCTGCAAGAGAATATAAAAAACATATTCAAAAATTCGCACCCGGGAGCAACCATAAGCTTCAGCCGCTCCAAAAACCGCCGCAACCGAGGCGCTCCCCGCCCCCGAGTCGAGTTCCCCGACCTCAACTCAGGCACAACGCTTTTTGCGTGTTTTTAAAATGCTGCTGATTTTACCTTCTTTTTTGAAGCCGAAAGGGCGCTGGCGACGCTCCACCTCCGACCGATACCCAACATTGACCCGCCTGTCGTCCTCAAGTTCTCCACTACACCCACGTTCAAACCGCTCGAAGTGCCCGACGCCTCCGTGTCGCCAAGAGTAATGAAGGCATTACCAGCCGGATGCACAGAAACGGCGCTCTACGACCTCCTCCGTCCGTACGGACCGCTATATTCCGTGCGGATAGACCCCGTCGCTGGCGGTCTGGTGCAGTTTTGGAGCGAGGCCGACGCCGAAGAGGCTGAAATCTGTGAAGCGCCTAACCTGAGTGCGTACGACCCTTGCTCTTTGTTCTGTTCTGTGAGTTCGCTCGATATCAGAAGCCAACTACTCAGTATTGAACTGTCCACAGAATATCAGCTTCGATATCGATGCTGTTGCCCTTCGAACCCATTTTGCCGAGGTGAGTCTTTCTCGATTATGTTCAACGTTCAACCCCAGCTCAACATTCGGATAGTTTGGCAGAATCACAAGGTGACCGAACAGTGTTCTCCCACCACCTTTATTCCGTGTTGAATTTCCTTCAGCGCCGAGATCTTCACCCACGCGCAAACTGGGAAAAGTCGAGGCTTCGGCTTCGTCACATTCCTGCTTCCAGCTGAAGGCAAGTCGGGGATAACACAAGAACATTGGCCGGTAGGGGCTGATATATGTATATGTCCTGCAGCACACAAGGCCATGGCTGCGATGCACGGCGCTGAAATACAGTGGAGAACCATCTCCGTGACGTATCGGGTGCTCAAAAAAGGGAGAAAAACAGCCGACACGCAACACCGCCGCCCCATCGTGACTGTCGATGTCCCTCCGAACCAGAAAGAAGCTGAGCCTCTTCCTCCGACACCGCCAACGGAACCCACGCCGGCAAAGCCTGCCGTTCAAACAAATGTCGAATCTGCTGGGGCCCACGTCTCCCGACTGAACCGCGAGCTCAAGAGCCTGCAGGACCTCTACGCCGTGGAAGTAAAGGAACGAGCAGCGGCGGAGGCCGAGTCCGCCCACCTGCGCGACGAATTGGACGCCGTGAAGCGCGCGCTCGAAATGGCCGAGTCCAGGCTGAAGATCGTGCAGCTCGAGTCGGACCGTCCGCTCTGGGAAGAGGCGAAGAAGAAGCGCGAGGAGAATGAGAGGGCGGAGCGCACGAAGGAAGAGGAGCGGCGCCGTGCGGCCGAGTTGAAGGAGTCGCGCAGGAAGATGCGGGAGTTCCAGGAGCAGGAGCGGGAGCGCAAGCGCGTGGCGGCGGAGGCCGAGCGGGCAGAGCTCCTGCGGCGCGAGGCAGAGGAGAAGGCGCGTCGGGACAAGGAGGAGCAGGAACGCAAGGCGCGGCAGCAGGAGGAGCGCGAGCGCAAGGCCAAGGCAGCTCGAGAGCAACGCGAGCGCGAGAAACGATGGCGGGCCGCGACGAAAACGGAGGAAGCACGCTGCCAGAAACGAGACGAACAGATGTGGGGCGTTGGCGTCTGGACGGATGCGCGAGCGCTGGAGCGCCTGAAGGTGCAGATGGACGAATTCGAGAGGATCAAGTTCTCTGAGGCCCAGCCGCTGACGTTTCACGTTATTCCGTGGCCGGTTCTCGTCGACCCCTTGGACTTGGACGTCGAGCAGATTAATTGGGAGGCGGTGGAGTTCTTCTTTGCACGCGCCAAGGCGCAGATGGCGGGCAAGTTGAAGGAGTACGGCAGTCTTGTCGAAAAAGTGCACAGGATGTTTCACCCGGACAAATGGAAGGCGCGGGGCGTGCTGACAACGGTGATGGATGAAGAGTTGAGGAGTTCTTTGGAGACGGCGGGGAACGTTGTCGCGCAGGCCATGACACCGCTCTGGAGGTCGTCGAAGGGGTATACTTGATTTACATAAACCAGTCGCGAATAAACAGTCAC